AGTTTTAGTTTAAACACATTATTCATTTCATTCCACTTTCACTTTAATCAGTTATATGTACTTACTTGATTTTGCATCGCCTGAAAATGCCTAACATACTTATATCATGAAAGTAGAGCCTATTTAATCTCTTTCCTTTGGGTATCTATTAAAAAAAATCACTCTCCTCCTACAGAATTTGATTAGTTATGATATTTTAAAGAAAAATGTAAACGAAATGAGAAACATAAGACCAAAAACAATCATATGATAGGTTTCTTGGAGAAGTTGTTCAACTATTTGCATTTGTTTATGAAGCAGTTTATGATTTATTTTTTTTAAATAATAAAACAACTCCACAGATAATACGATAGATGATATTTGTTGTTAACATCCATGTTTGTTCGTAGAAAGCACAAGAAATTGTCACAGATATCATAACTGTTCTGAAGTAGATCCTGCTTTGGGCGACGGAATAGGCCAAATGTTCAGCAGCTGGACTGCGAAACATCTGCATGGGTGTCACTAACCGCTTTTGTTTTCCAGTGAAACACTTCGTTGTGAAAATTACACCGAAGTAGTTTGTGGAGAACGTTATGAACCGAAATGGGCTTGTGAGTAAAGCATTTACAGAATAATGTAATTAAATTATGATTATTCAAGCAAGCAATATCCCAAATTAGTTGTACATGAAAGTACATGTAATAAAAAAGCAGCCATAAATTTATTATCGTAAAATCACATTTAACAGATACCTAACAATCAACTCTCTCTTATTCTTTGTTTTTTTTTCAATTTTCACAGGTAGATACTACAGACTGCAATGTAAAGGATCACGCTGCAGACCTTGTTGGATATCCTACCCTAAATGTGAAGATAAAGACGACGGAGTATGGCCACAGCCCGAATATGATGGGCCTCACTATATGATTTGTCAAACAGGAACTTGCCTACGAGATGAAACTTGGAGTGTTCAGTCCTTTCTTTACAATGGTAAATGTGTACATATGTTTGCTATATCTAAAGATTACAATGGTATTGGCTATCTTCCGTCTTGTAACGGAACTGCAGATGGAAATTATCAGTATCCTGAACGACAGTGTGACGCTTACTACAGATGTGATGGTGGAAGTGCTTCAGCTGTGAAATGTCCTCAGAATACGGTCTTTGACATTTTGAGCAAGACTTGTAAAGTTGGAGGTACATGTGCACAGAGACAAGTTCTAAGTATAATATTCAAAATTAATTATTTTGAAGGTATATTCCAAAGTCAGGTATTTAAATGTAAGAATTATCAACTTTAAAATAAATTTACTAGTCCATAGAACTTCTCAAAATTTTCGAGAAACAGGCTAAGGTATTTTCAATGAATCTCAAACATTTCTTGAAGATCTTATTTAGTCTGTGCGAGAATCTATTTGAATGAAGATTCTACGAGGGATCACTATATTTGCTGTTATGTGGTCACTATTGAAGGGAAAAAAGTTATGTAGTTTATTTTTTTAAAAAACAAATTAATTGTACATTAAGACGTAACTTTTTGGACAGCCACTTGCCTATAAACGTACGTATTCTCTTGATGTACGAGATTTGTTTTTGCTAACTTCTGAAACTAGAACAATCACATTTTCTCAGTCTTGCCTCAAATAGTGCCTCGAAAAGTGTCTAGCTCAGCACACGACACACTGTTAAATTGAATAAAGAAAATAATTTGTTGAAAATGATAATTGAAATGCAAACCAACATCAAGACAATAAATTATTTTTTTCAAAGAATAGTTGAAAGTCCTTATCATCTCTTGATGTTAGTAGTGTTACTTACCAATTCGTAAACTTTTTATCAAACCATTTACCGTTCACGATAGCTCAGTCGGTAGAGTCGGTAGAGCGCTTGCTCCGTGATCAGGAGGTCGTGAGTTCGTATCTCGGCCGCGACTGACCCAGTCGATAAAATGGATAGCAACTGTTCCTTCGCCATGCGCTCGGCACTTTGAAGTGAAAGTTGCGGGTCCTTCGGATGAGACCTTAAAAACCGAGCCCCGTGTCAGCTGCAGGCGTTGGCACGATAAAGATCCCTCACTGCCGAATGGCCCTGAGTGCCGAGTAAAGGTGAAAATTTGAAGCTTTTCACCGGCATACGGTGACGTCTCCATATGAGTGAAAAATTCTCGAGAGGGATGTTAAACAATATACAATCAATCAATCAAACTATTTCTGATGAAAAGAAATTTTTATTAAAGGTTGATCAAACTTTTTTTCGAGTAATATACAAACCGGATGTTTAGGGGTATATTGAATCAAAGAAACGTTCCTGATAAACATGTGTTGTCCATTTTTATTTGAAGAAGAAGCAACACCTTCGTGCATAATAAATTGAATGTAATTCGTAAGATGTGTCTTTTAAAAATGTCCCTAAGTTAATCTCCTTTTAGAAAATTCATTTTTTTTTCAAGATTTTATTCATTCTGGCAAATTCTATGGAACAATTTAAAAATGTATAAAGCTTCCTGATAACATTAAATGCCTATGAAATGAATTCTTTGTTTGGAACATAAGAATAATGGAAACTAGGAAAATGGCATTAAATTAAGGTTAAGGTATTATTATTATTTTTTTTATTTAATAACAGACACACATAATGTAAAAATGCAAAAATTTAAAAAAGGATAAGAACAATTTACAAAGGAAATTACTCAAGACGTAAAACAGTTAGTTCAGTGAGTTAATCCCTGACATCACGCTATCTGTATCCTCTAAATTTTACGTTTGCATCGGTATAATAAACAGTCAAAAAGAGCACATGTATATCATTGCAGAAGTTGGCAAAATTCCAGCTCCTCAGGGCCAAGACTATTTTTCTCGTCTTGGAGAAATATTCTTGGCCTTGGAGAACTGGAATCTTGCTTAAAACTTCATACCTTTTATGAACTTTTGATTGATCTACATCGTAAATTGTATGTTCAATGCGAGTATTAATTTATTGTTCAATTTCTTCATATAAGCGAGGAAAAAGAACTTAATGTTTGAAGAAAATAATAAAATTAAATGTATTCATTTTTTTTTTCATTTTAATTAAAAGATTACAGACATTATGTAAATAAATTCTTATTTTCAAGGTTCGTTTTTTGACTCCGTGCCATTAAATAATCAGCAACTACACAGTACAAATTACTTAATAATATAGTTAATGAATTTATTAGTGCAAAAATCAAACTAATGAAGAAATTTAAAAAGTTGAAGTCTGGCGTTAGTAACTTGAAGACCATTACAAGTGATTTGGACAATCTTAAAACACATGTGATCTGATAGAATTTCTTGGAGACAGAATAATTTTACTGTTCAAAAAATTCATTATAACAAGCATACACAATTTTAAAACAATCCCTAACAATTACAAGAAATAAAGCAGGGAAACTTGTTTGTTCGAGTAACACTTTGCATGTGAAAAGATTCCATGGGTTACAATTCAGAAGTAAAGGTTCTATGGTCATTGAATTCTGGTATTTATTACGAATACTACAGCGAAAATGATTTAACTGAACGTGTGAAATTATCTTCTTAAAAGTTGAACTATTCGTGATGAAAAGTTTTACATAAGTCCCTCCCAGTCGAACAAACGGGTTATTGTGGTAGTTGTTGTAAGTTCCTTCGATTGTTTCAATTCTGTCCAAGCGAAAATCCTGAAGATAAATGTGACAACTCTATATATGAAGGATATGGAGATAACGAACAGTAATATGATGAAATTTCACCAGTATTGAGGAAATTCTGGAAAATGTCAAACTTCCGCACACTCTAGTGGCTTCCATGTAAGCTTTGAATTTAAATTAGTGTTTGTTTTAAAGTAAGCATCATTTTAACTTCTTAAACAAACTATCACAATTTTACTAGTTTTCTGATTTTTACATCAAATAAGGGGCCAGATTTTGCCGTTACCCTATCTTGTTCTTTACGAAACAAGAGAAACGTTATAAAACGCTTCCCAATTTCTGAACTAATCTTGGTAATGGGAACTAGTAAGGCTAGAAATTGTTTGGAGGTTTAGGTTTCAGATTTCATTGCCTTTTTTTTTTTTTACTTATTTACAAAATTTGATTATAAAAATGATGCGTTTTAAAGAAGAATTTAAAAAAAAAAAAAAAAAAAAAAAAAAAAAAAAAGCCATATTGGACTGTAAACAGTTCAAGTAGAGTACCTTTCATGAAAATCAATTTTGTACTGATGAATATATCTAGTTCTATCTTAATGTCCATCCAGATAATACGTCGCAAACGTTTTGTATTTGACAAAACGTTGTCTACATGTTGTACAAATGATCAGTGATATCAATCTTCCGAGAAATCTTCCGAGAAATTCAGCAAAAATTACCACGTAAAATCAGCACGCACAAATTGGAATTAAATTTTCATGCAAAAATTGTTATTAAATTTTCATGCAAAAATTGTTATTAAATTTTCATGCAAAAAATTTTATTAAATTTTCATGCAAAAATTGTAATTAAAGTTTCATGCAAAAAATTATAATTTTTTACGGGTCGACAGGTCTAGACTTCTCGACCCATAGACCTTTTGACTTGTAGGTCTGTTAATGCCATTCTGTTTTTGTTTTTTTATATGAATTCAAAATTGCATATTTATGAATTAAACAAATATACATATATGCAAATAACAAATATAAATATTTTAGAGTTCTTTGATTACAAATTAATATCTATTTATGTGGACTTTTCACTCAATTTTCAGAATGAGTGAGTCCAAAGGAACTACATGTGTATATATCAGTATACTATACTAGACCCGCAAGGATAAATTGAAAAAAAGGTAGTACTCGTATTGAAAAAAACTAGTATATAAATATAAATGTGTATCAATAATCTTTTGAACATCCGCCAGTGAAGAATGTTAATACCAAGAAAAGGCACCACGTCGGTCCGTACTGGCTCTACTTTGATTATAACCATTATAACTTCATGACGTTTAAATGCTGAATTCTTTAATCTATTTGAATAGGCACTATATTTAACTGCATTGTTCTATTTACACATCTATTGTGTATGACTGTTTGGTATGTGGTGAAAAGGGATTTTTTGTGTCTAGAAGACTATTACATGCATCTAAATTCAGTTTTCAGAATAATATCTTAAGGATATAACGCCATATTAGTAGTATTCTTGGTACGAAATGGATGTGTTTCATTTGTGTTTTAAACTTAATTTTTGTCTCTTGATGTCTATGTGTGTTTCTTCTCAGACACTTTATAATAGTGACAAAGAAATCTACGAAGGCCTAAACGTAGACAACAGAATCGATGTTCTACAGATGGCTTTGCAAGAAGGTGAAAAACGATTGCGAGAAACCACTCTCCGTTTACACGAAATTATTCGGACGTTAGAAAAATCGAATAAAGACTACGACGATTTATTAAAAATGTACAGTTTAAGGATTGTTCCAAATGGTATGAGAAAGGTGTATTTTAGAGGCCTATTTATTTAAATTTGATATGCCTCATTTCATGCATATTGCTTTGCTATTGCCTGTCGGTCGTTGGGTCTGTCTGTCTGTACGTCCACCAATCGTTTCCGTTCACTTTTTTTCGCAAAGGTTGCAAATACTGAAATGAAAATTGGTATACAGAATTTTGATAGGACAGGATCTCCTGTACGATCGATTTTTGTTTTTGACAAAGTAAGGCACTGTGGACTTCCAATTATTGGCATTTTCCGTTCATTTCAGGAAGGGGAGGGCATAAGTGTTTAACAAATGTTTCTTCTTTGATATTGTATGGTCCAAATAGCCGGATAGTTACTTCATGAACTTAGTCCGTCATCTGATTTTCTCTATGTATCCATGTAAGAGAAAAACCCTAGCTTTCTCGCTCCTTTAGTCTCCGATTTTGATGTGTTACATATATATTTTAAGATAAATGTTTAGAAACTGAAAAACATATAACAGATATATTAGATAAATAATCATCCAATACTTCTAATAAAATAATTGTCATGCTAATCTTCTTTTAGCTTCCTAAGGGATATTATTGACTTTGGTTAAGTAACAATATAATTATGATATTCTATTAAAATAATAAAATCACTCCACAGATAACACAATAGATGATATTTGCGTTCGACACCCACGATTGGTTATAGAAAGCACCACAGACTGTCACAAGTATTATGACTGTTCTAATATTGATCCTGCATTAGGCGGCGGAATAGGCCAAATGTTCAACAGTTGGACTGCAAAACATCTGCATGAGTGTCACTATCCGCTCTTGTTTTCCAATGAAACACTTCGTTGTGAAAATTACACCGAAGTTGTTTGTGGAACGCGTTATGAGCCAAAATGGGCTTGTAAGTAAAACATTTAGGAAAATGTAACGAAATTATGATTATTCAAGCCAGCAATATCTCAGTGTAGTTGTAAATGTACATGTAAGTAAATTTAATGCTAAAAAGACAGATTCTAATTTATTCAGATTAAAAAATCACATTTAACACATATCTAACAATCAATATTCTTCGAACACGTTTCTATTTCAAAAGGTAGATACTACAGACTGCAATGTAAAGGATCTCACTGCATACCTTGTGGACTATTCTACCCTAAATGTGAAGATAAAGACGACGGACTATGGTCACACCCTGAAAAGAATGGGCCTTACTACATGATTTGTCAGAATGGAAGGACAATCGAGACAGGAACTTGCCCACGAGATGAAACATGGGGTGTTCAGTCCTTTCCTTTCAATGGTAAATGTGTACAAATGTTTGCTATACCTAAAGATTACAATGGTATTGGCTATCTTCCGTCTTGTAACGGAACAGCAAACGGAAATTATCAGTATCCTGAACAGGTCTGTGACGCTTACTACAGATGTGATGGTGGAAGTGCTTCAGCTGTGAAATGTCCCCAGAATACGGTCTTTGACATATTAACCAAGACTTGTAAAGTTGGAGGTACATGTACATAGAGATGATTTTAAAGTTGTACAAAATTATTTTTCCTACAATGTATACTAATTTTTTTATGTTCAGATTTGTAAAATTTAGCTATTATTAAAGACATTAAAAACAGATTTCTTAAAATGTTCGTGACACATGTTAGTTTCAAAGAATCAAACAATTCTCGGAATTTTTTTTTTTAAAACCCTTATACGCCCTTATATCCACAAGGCTCTGTAATAGTTCCTTTGTTATTTTTAATTTATGTAAATGGTGTATCTGACAAGATTTCAAGGTTTTGTAGATTATTTGTTGATGATAGCAGTCTGCAGTACGAATCTAAATGTGTTAAATCCATAGAAAGTTAACCAAATATTGATCTTATTTTTTGAAGAATATTCAAAGAAATGGTTACTTAAATTAAACCCTTAGAAACTTAAGGTTGTAATTTTACCACAAGAAAAAAACACAGAATCTCATCTGACTCATCTCACATTGAAATCTTACTGTCTAATCCAAAAAAATTAGGTATGTCAAAAAAAGTTCAACAAAAAAAAAAAATTAAAGTCTCTTTCAAACATGTATATTTCATTTATCCGCCCTTAGTCGAATATGCCTCATTTGTATGGGGTGATTGTTAAACTATCGATTGCAATTAAGTGCAGCACCGATATTGCTACTGGTTTGACTTTTTTAAAGTTGCATCTAGAGATTCTTAGTGTTTGAAACAGGAAGAGAACTGCTCAGAGATGGACACATGATCCAAAAATTGAATACCCTGTATAAAATTCACAACAATTTACTTCCTGATTACCTTGTGAGGTTAACAACAATAACATAAGAGTCACATGGAAAATAGTTTGAAGTATGAAGTGCATCTTATTTTTTCAGAAATGATTTTTATAAAAATCATGACATGAAGAAATTTCAACATAGAGAACAGAAAGAGTAACAATTTATTATCATAACACCAATTTTAAAATATGAGGTGAATATAAAAATAATACTTAGTATCATACCTATTAAGATCATGTTAGGAAACATCATGAAGCGATGCTTGCTAAGTCAGAAAATCCCAATGTTGTAAGAAAAAAATACATCTGTGAGGAGAAGTTATCTTTCTTCTAAATATTTCTTTATGTGAAAAAATGTCATAAGAATTCTGTATTAAGTACTTGAAACTTAAACCATTTTAAAATTGTCCTTAAAAAGATACTTATTCGATTTAATTAAAAGTCTTTTGAAGTTGGTTTTCATGTTTTATTGTTAAATATAATAAAACGATCAAAAGAACTTGGATTGAATTCTACAAATGGTAATCCTACTTATACTCATACTCCCCTTTCTAAGGAAGAAATTATTTAAAATGACGTGTCAGTTTTGAATACTATTAATATTCCACAGAGCCAAAATGAATTTGAACTACCTTATATATATTGGATTCCGAAACTTCATAAGAATACTTACAAACAGAGATACATTGCAGGTTCCTGGAAATGTTCAACCAAGCCTCTTTCGTTACTCCTCACTAAGATATTGACAGTAGTGAAGGAAAAACTTCAAGAGTGCTGTGCAACTATATATTCAAGAAGTGGTGTGAATCAGATGTGGATACTAAAAGATTCTAAAGAACTTTTGGACAATTTGAAAAAAACAAGACTTTACAAAAATCAACAGCTGAAAAACTTACGACTTTTCAACTTTATACACAACAATTCCCCACGACAAATAAAAATCCAGGCTTTTTGATATCATTGACAGCTGCTACTTCAATTAAAATGGAACTCGTAAATTTACTGACCTCGTTATTGGTCATTTGAAAAATCGTTTTGTTAAAACAGATTCTGATAGCACACATGAGTACTCTGATGTTCTCATCAAGAAGATGCTTGAGTTTCTTATTGACATCATCTATGTGGTTTTTGGAGACCACGTATTCCAACAATCTATTGGAATTCCCATGGGTACAAATTGCGCTCTGTTATTAGCAGACTTATTTTTATATTCATATGAAGCAGAATTTATGCAAAATCTTATGCGTGAAAAGAAGAAAACACTTGCTGTGGCCTTCACCGCGACATTTAGATATATCGACGACGTATTGTCAATTAACAATTGTAATTTCCATTCCTACGTCGATACGATGTATCCTGGTGAGCTTGAGATAAAAGATACCACAGACTCTGACACTTCTGCTTCATACTTGGATATTTAACTTGAAAAAGACGCTAATGGTAATTTAACAACCAAGCCATATTATAAAAGTGATGACTTTAACTTTTCTATCGTCAACTTCCCTTACTTATGCAGCAATATACCTTCATCACCTGCATACGGAGTATATATATCTCAGTTGATTCGATAGTGCATGCTCTACGTATGAACAATTTCTAAAACGAGGTAAATTATTGACAAGCAAGTTGATGAAACAAGAATATCAGCAGTCTCGTTTAAAGTCATCATTTCGTAAGTTCTATGGTCGATACAATGACCTTGTCAGCAAATACAATTTATCATTGAGTCAAATGCTGACTAACGTTTTTCATACCAATTGTTAGTCCATTATTATACACTGAAGTGACGACGGATTTTTCCGTTATTTCCTGATCATGACAAAGAGTACCGGGTGTGACCGGTCGGCAGGGGATGCTCACTTCTCCATGGCACCTGATCCAACCTCCGATGTTTCGGGGGTCCGTGTTTGCTCTGCTCTTATTCTGAATTGTTTTATGGACTTTGAGATTGAATACTGTTCCTTATCTCCATATCCTTCCAGAAAGAAATTGTCTAAAGAAATAGAAAGTAATGTTTCCATCATATGTTAGATTTCATGGAATTGAAGACTCAGAAGTCTCAATTAGGAAACTCCGATTAAGAGAATTAAGCACAAAAATGAGTCATTTCGAGGCTTTTCTTCTTTTTGCCATATTCTTCTATAATTTGTTATACGGTAATTATTCATCTACTCGACTTCATGTTAAAGCCAATTTCATCACGTTTTATTTAATGAACATTATTTAATATTCTTTAACGATACATAACCATTAAATTATAGGGCACAAGAAAGCCCAATCCGTACCTTCTTCTTTAACAAAAACTCCACCTTTTGGCATTACTTTTGATCATAATGAAGAGAAAGTGTGAAACCTAATGAAGAGAAAAGGAAATTACGTGTACATGCGAAGTGAAATTAAAATTCTTTTTTTACGTTAGAGAATTTGGTAGATAAAATGAACGATTTTATGATTGCTAAAGTTTGTATCTTTATACCGTTAAATATCTTTATTATTAGGACACCAGCATGAACAAGTAAGATCATTGAAAGAAAACTAAATGGATAACAAGTGTCTTATTCGTGTAGATTTTTCAGAAAATTATGCTTGCAAATCTAGAATCCAAAATTTAAGGGTTGCATTTTGGTGCCTCAAGAAATCAAGTAAGTATGCAACAGGGCTTCTGTACAAGAAAGATAATCACCCTTTATCATTTTGTACTATATCGGGGAACAATGGACATGACTCAGGGACAATATGGGTCATTTAATTTGTCACCTATCTTAAGCAAGGTAAGAGAGACCAACCATGATATTGATTCATTTTTGTATAATAACTACACAGTATCAAGAAAGAAATGTTCAAGAAAGAATTTCTTTCTTAGGAAAGAAGTACATGAATCATAGGGGTTCGAGAAAGAAACCAAGATTTTTTCAGAAGCAGGGCATGGGAAGGGAGCGCCTGATGGAGTTGGGGCACTGATGTAGCAGACTGATAAATTAGTCTCATACGGCTAATTTCGTACAATGAGAAAGGCTGATATTGAAGTGAATCTCCACGTGATCGAAGATGATTCCATTCTCAATATACTATACTAATTTAATCCAACACCAAGCCATATTGTCTTATTTCATTTAAAAATAAGTGCATGCATACATTTGTATATAAGAGTGTGTTCATGAGCGTGATAAAAAGTATTTCAGAGAGATGTACTCAAGAGAAATCATATCTATTTCTTGTTACAACAACTAATGAAAGTAAATGATTATGTAGTTATTGAATAGTGTAGTTGAAGTGTACAGATTTCTTTTAAATTCCTCCTTTTTAGGTCACCTGAGTAAACTCAGGTGACCTACTGCTATCTGTTTTCGTCCGTCGTCGTGCGTCGTTCGTCGTGCGTCGTGCGTCGTGCATTAACATTTGAACATTTTTAGCTTCTTTTCTGCAACCACTGAACCAATTTCAACCAAGTTTGGCACAAAACATCTATGGGTAAAGGAAAACAAAAATTGTGAATTTCATTATCCCTGCCCC